AAAACAAGAAAGCATCAAATAGCTATGTTACAACTGCTAAACATATGTTATCTGGAGCAATAACGCTGGTAAATGAGTTAAACCATTCTAAAATACTTGAAAGATTTTTGGAAAACCAATAAAAAGATGATGAGAAAAACAGAAGATAATTCAGTACTACCACTAATTGTAGACAACAAGCATCCTGTATTTGATAATTTGGGTAAAGTTGAAATCCTACAGAAGATCTACTTTGGGGACGGTCACCGGCGAGCTGATTTTTTGAACAACAATTTGATTGAAAAAAAATCAACAAAGATATATAGACATGAAGAATCAGTATAAAAAAACCAGTGAAGCAGAACAGGAAAGAGATGGGTTTGACAGACAAAGAAGCAAAGATGAAATAGAGGCTGCTATATACCGCCTTCGTACAGGACTGTACCAGGACCAGACCAGCAGTTTGCCTATTTTTTTTAAGAACGCAGGCGAACATTTAACTATGGTAGTGATGAAGAACATCATATGGCAAAAAAGGGGAAATACATGTAAAGTGCAGATGCAAAATTTCTAAGACGAACTGGAAAAAAATTAGTTACTTTTTCACATCTTCCTATAGACTAATCAGTCTAACATACATAATATGCAATCATACCACATCTTCTTTTTTAATAGCTGATGCAAAGAATAATTCTAGAAAGAATAGTCGCATATATCGAGGGTCACCGATTCCCATGATTGATTTAAACCAAGAAGGGTTCAGAAAAACTAATTTAACAACAAATGCACTTCTTCGGCTGGCCCTAAACAAAAGTTTATGGAATAAATTGGACGGAATCAATATTAGTTTGGTTGGTCGACTTAGAGACGGATTGTGATTCAATAGAGCAACACTTGCATTCAAGTCACAGTAAGATGCAGTTCGAAGAGTTCTAAAATTACAGAAGTTTAAGAAATATCACCCTTTAACTTCGACTTAAATGTATCAACGCATGATTGAAAACTAAACGATTTTCCAGTTTCCTCCTTAATAAACACGCAAAGTTAAGAATAACATCTTTGTTCTTACGATTATTTTTTCAACAAAAACTGGGGCGGATTAAGGGATAACCAGGGTGCTTAACCCCTTAAGGAACTACTTTTATGGCTAATGAATAGACTTCACCCACTTCTTCAAAATCCTGGATCCGCATCTGAAAAAGAGGAAAATCGTGAACATTTACAGGTCAGTCTACAGTCTTCTACAATGAACAAAACCCATACCTTATAGGAGACTATAAAAGGCTCCGGTATGACAAAATATGGAACAATTTAAAAGAGAAAAATCAACTGCCTAGTTTATCCTACAAAAATAAACTAAAAACAATTGCGGCAGAAAGCAACCAACGTCAACCACTGAATTATAAGCATCTAGTTTGTGACAGGCATAAAAGAAAGTGGTCGGAATAAACATTTTTATAAGCGCTCTCTCGCCAACAGCGGTGTCACTGAACAACACAAAATAGAACAAACTGAGTCGAATCATTAAAACAAATTAAGAAACAAAAAGACAAAAGACACAATAAAAGTAACGATTCAAAATCCAAGCTAGTTAAAAGCCCAATTTCAAGTAATAAATAAAACATGTCCATTTGGTAATTTGTTTAGGCTAATGAATTATGATTGATAAAAACGGTATTAGAAAATGCAAGGATATATAAGACCAGTCTAATTATCACCGGATAATGTCTGTCAAACGAACAGACACATATGTGCATCATTATTTACCCCCTTTCCTTTTCAAAGCATATAGAGTTTTTGCTAACAAAAAAACACCTTTATTTTAGATCTTTCAAATTTTAACCAATACCTTTTAATGACGATACCAGCAAGGGGACAATTGGCACCTAAAGGAACAAACCTAGGGATTTGTTTTAGTTCACTTATATGTTTTGGAGTTTAGTGTGACGTCCATTTTCACTGAATTAGTACACATCTTTGTCTAGGACTAGCTGAAGCCCGCCTCCCGGTGTGGGATTTTCTCACTGTGTTGAAGACCCATTGCTGTATTCTGTCTTTTGTCGGGTTGTTGTCTCTTTGACACATTCCCCATTTCCATTCTCAATTTTATTAACACCCAATAAATGATAGAAAAAGAACAGTTATATCTGTGATTAGCGTTAGATTTTTTAACATTAGCTCATGGAAAGTAAAAAAAAAAAAAAAAACAGACAAGAGTTAGCACAATCAAAGCCATGTCGGAAGTTTAATTTATTATTTTGTAGAATGCATAATTTTTAAATGAAGCGTTTAATTAAGCCTCAGTCACACATAAGCCACCCTCTACATTCAGTGGAAATTTTACAAAATTAATTAAACGATCGTTGTTCCAGTCTATTAAAACGAAGATGATTCCACAATGGAACATTTGACATGGACAATCGCGTTCATTATCCTTTCTTTATCTAGTAACTACCATCAACACGTTGGAGTTTATGTCACTAGTACTACGCATGGCTAGGTGGAAACGTATTTTCAGTCAAATGAACCCAAAGATATTACAACATATTTATATAAAATAGACTTAAATTTTATTTTTGTTTTGATGTAAAGAAAAATTGATGTAGGTGTTAGTGACAACAGCTACTTTGAACGACTCGACAGAGTCACTTATCGCTCAGTGGAAGGTTGTTCAGGTTTGAATGTGCGGGGAACGAGTAATTGATGATGTGTTGTGTCCTGAAGAATGGAAATTAGTACGATAGTGAGTGCAATTTTCTTGTCTGTTTGTTCGTTTGGATTACTCTATCTCTGTTTTCGGTTTGTGATTCGTTGATAAGAGATTTTATATAGCATACCAAGGCGTGTATCTGTTATGTCTCTCCAATTTAGATTGTTTAAAACGTTACTTACACTTTAGATGTTTCCTTCATTTAAATGACAAATCTAGAAGCCATGATCCCTGGTGGATAGTTGTCTCATTGACAATGTTTTTATTTTTATTTAAAAGGTCAAAATGCAACACAATTCAAACAAGAAAACCAGCATCTTGAGTTACGAGAAAATACTAGTAATAAACGAAATACGAATATTTATAAGAGACATCATTCAACGAAAATCATTGAATTACAGGCTCCCGACTTGCGACGTAATTAAAAATCATTTGCTATTTGGTAGTTTTGTATATGAGGCTGTCATCTGCGAATCGTATGATCCTGAGTTTACTGGATTTCAAGTATTGTAGTAGGTCGTTTGTACATACAAGAAAATAACAGGACACAGAACTGTTCCTTGTAAGAAACCAGAAGTGACGGGGCAACATCTGATAACTCTCCATTTAAGACTATTGTTTGTGTACGGTTTGATGAAGAAAAAAACCCGGAGATTCAGTTTAAGGTGGTACCTAACACTACAGGGAGATAACTCTGTAAAAATCAGCTAAACGTTTTAATTACGTTGTATTGTTAAGGAAATATTAAGCTTCTCAATGATCAAAATTAGTGTTTGTCAAACTGCTATATAACCAATGAAATTTTTCTGATAAAGTGGTTGGTTCAAATTTTTTGAAATTTTTATATTTTTGTCAAAGGGTCAAAGTTAACATTTTGTCAAAATTTTATGAAAATTAAACGAGCCAAATTAATATTAGTCAAGGTGTTGGGTACCACCTTAAAGTTTCACTTTTTATTCCATGCTCATTAAGTTTCAATGTTCAATGATCAACGTTAATTTTAAGCACTTAGGTCTGTTTCACATTTAGCATAAGTAGTATGTCAAATCTATTTGATCTTTAGAATGATTGTAAAAAGTAAAAAGGGGTAGAAGATACAAGGAGGACAAAGTCAAAGAAAACAGACAAAAGTTAGTTTTCTCGTTTGAATTGTTTTACATTTGTCATTTCGGGACCTTTTATAGCTTACTATACGGTATGAGTTTTCCTCATTGTTGAAGGCCATACGGTGAACTTTAGATGTTAACTTCTACGTCATTTCGTCTCTGAATGAGAATTGTCTCATTAGCTCTCATACCACACTTCTTTTTTTGTTGGTATAAAACACTGGCCAAAACGAAACCGTGATACAAAACACAATTAACAGTCTACAAAACACCGTACGAAAAACTAAAGACTGCGAAACAAGAACTCCACCAAAACCGTTGGTGATCCTATGTTCTCCGGAAGGGTAAGCAGATCATAGTCTACCAAATGATTCGTCGTGTTGCTCATGGCACGTAAAAATATAATTAATAAGTCGCATTAGGTGATTGTGGCGATGACACTCGGAAATATTCCATAACAGACATGATGACTTCAAATTTCTAATCATGGACCCTAGGTGAAATAGTTTCCTTGTTGACAGCAACTCTCTATCAAGTAATTATGATGGAAAAATCAAGCTCTGGAATATCGTATCAAATGGTAGATACTTGCTTCATATACAAAGTGTACATAACTATCTGGCAGGGGTTACTTTACCTTACCATTTTCATTATTCAATTATCAAGGTTAATTTACTTGTGAATACCATGTCGACGACAACACCAACGGGTAAGTTATGGACTCATCCGATCTTCTACAAACGTGATCAGTCTGTTGGCCGATCAACATTCCTGTTAAGTATCGTTATTACTTAGACCTAATGAACGGGCATATTATTACGAAAGCAGCCATCCAATATGGAATGTACCAGATACACCAACCAACACTTAAATGTATCACAATCACCAAACAATATTCGATTGTCGTCGTCAACTTCCAACACTGCCATGTTGACAGATAAAATCCAATTTAAAGCACTAATAACACTATAGACGGAAGGCGTGAGATCTGTATAAGTTGTCATGCAATGTTAATAATTGCCACAGCAATAACAAATGTTCTAGAAAACAAGAAGTATCTTTTTTTTTTACCAAAACTGATAAATTACCAAACAGAAGTTAAGATAAATTTTTAAAAGAACAATTAACAGTTGTATTCACAAATTCTTTTAAAAAAAATCCATGCAGTAGTCTTAACCTATAACAGATAAACAATTAACAAAAAAAAAATCGAAGATGATTTATTTTTATTAAATTACTTTATAATTATAAAATCAACATTAATATTTGTTAAATATTATTATATTTAGTCTTAAAAACAATCACTTGCCAACAAGTTACCATCTTGATATCTATTGTCATAATTTATTTCATTAATAATTTCAAATATACAGCTTTCTTAGTGCATTCAGAGACATACAATACAATTGTAGTATATGTCTCTGGTGAATTCGAGTACCACTATCATATTATTTACTCATTTGTACATAAGAAATCAGGATAAATATATTTACGAAATCTTCAATCTCCACTTTTTCCATAATCAGATGACATTAAAAATACTCACAAAATCTTCATTCTCCCCATTTCCCAAATCAAATGGCATAAACAATAATGACAAAGATTCAATTTCGCCTTTTCCCAAATCAAATGAAATAAAAAAGTCTACATAATCTTCTTTAAGTTTTATATAATCTTCTTCCCCCCCCCCCCATATTTCCAAAATCAAATGACATAAATGATATTGACAAAATCTTCAATGTTCCCTTTTCCAAAATAAATTAACATTAACAGTATTCACGTTTTAAAAAATCTTCATTCTCCCCATTTCCCAAATCAAATGGCATAAACAATAATGAAAAAAATTTCATTTTCGCCATTTCCCAAATCAAATGACATAAAAAAATGTTTACATAATCCTCATTCTCCCCCCATTTCCCAAATCAAATGACATAAAAAAATATTGACAAAATTTTCAATGTTCCCTTTTCCTTAAATCACACAATTCACGCAATGTTCATTCTTCAATTTTCCCAAATCAAATGTCATTAAAAATATGTACAAAATCTTCATTTCACTACGCAGTCATCACAACATTCTGTTTAGCTGCTGTCATAGTTTTAAAAACATGCCCCACAATCGGCATTTCCTTAATTTATATAAAAATAAGAATATGTGGTTTGATTGCCAATGAGACAACTTTCCATCCGAGACCAAATAACGTAGAAGTTAGCAACTCAATTGATGGTTTCTGCTAATGAAAAAGTTTTGTTAACCCTGTATAGTTGGTCATTTTTTTGGAGGTTTCTGTCTATCTATTTAAACGTCCATTACAATGATTATAAATTTTAAAAGTAATCAAAACCTTTTGGAAAACCAAATATACTAGGTCAACAGAGATAACATTGTATCAAATACAAAGTTATATAGGTAAAGTTGTTAAAAATAAACTAGTCGATCAGTTTTGACAAAGTTTGTTTACATTTGTCGATATCTTAAAAAGAAATACAATTTGAAAATTATAACAAAACGTGAATTCTTGATACAGTTATGGAATCTCGATATCTTAAAAAGAAATACAATTCAAACATTATAGCAAAACGTAAATTCTTGATACAATTATGGAATCTTCTTATTTACACTCTAAGCATTAGGGAATCTATATTTTAGTTAACAAAAACATAACGATCGGATGCTTGTAGCAGCCAGGTGGTTTCTAAATTTGATCTCGTAAAATGATGGAAATATTCTCCTAATTTACTCATTCAAATGATATGAATCATAGCTTTTAATTTCATAAATATTTAACACATACATATTGCAAACAAATGTTGTTTTTTTTTCAAATCAAATCTTTACAGAATGCAAATTCTTGCGAATTCATGATAATTGAAATGCATACTTACAAATCAAATCAAATCATTTTATTGGTGTAAAATCCAAATATTGGGTTGTTACCAAGACAAACATGACAATATTTACAAACATACAGTATTTAAATTTAAGCAACATTCATACTATATAAATATCTCATATATTTAGATATTTTGGTGGAGATGATACCTTTGCAAATTTGAAAGTTAAAATACAATATTCTTAATGCTTTTGAAACAAAACATAACATAACAAATATATAAGAACAATAGAAAATAATCACAAATTTGTATTACATAATTAGATTTAGTACTCTAATCTTTGTACATATGATTCTTCTAACTCCAACACAGTACTTTGTAATTTTAAATTATTAATTATTGTATTTTAACAACAAAAACATAAGGCAAATATACAATGATAGAAAATAACCAATAAAGCATGTAACCACTGTTACTACTATTCTTATTTAACGACTACTTGAAGATTTAAAACAATGTTGTTCATTCAAAAAATGCCAAATGCATTATGCCATACATTTACAATACTCATATAGTTGTATTTGAAATACAAAATTTAAGCAGATGACGAAAATATAAATACAGAAAATTACATTAAAGTTGATTAAAAAAAATTGCCAATATATGTTATGAATTCTTTTATACACGAAATTGTCATATTATGGAACAAAAACATTCTGTATGTAGAAATAATGAACACAAAATAAAATAATAATAGAATTATCTATTGATGATACAATTTCCATCCAACAAGTATCCATCATTTTCTTTACTTTTTCACTTGCCGTTTTTAGGAAGGCAACATAATGCTTTCTGTAAAGTTGTTATTTTTGTAAAACTATATACTACAATTTCAAGTCAAATTACATAAAATTCAAGTGTTCAAAACTTTGCATTTACTAAATACTTCACAATTGAATAGATAAAAATATCTGAAATGACATTTAATTCGTAAAACTATGTAGAATGCCGCAAAATGAAAGCTTTGGATATTCATAATCTAGTAAAATTTCATATGTGATGTAATATGATAGATGAAATAGCGGCAGTAGCACTTGATCTATATTCTTTAGTTAGGTTAAAAATTTACACAATATGAAAAGTAAGATAAATTGAAATATAAATATATACGGTCACTATTTGGAAATATTTATACCTCCACATGTCAATCGTCTCCGCATTACTGATATGCACATTAAAGCTAGAAAATATTCATAATATATAATTTTCACATACTGTAATTCTGTCAATTTACATGGAATACTTATACCTGACAAAACACCAACAAAACTGCTATTCATTATAAGTAGAACAACAAATTTATGTCAGTCTAATAAAACATGAACAAAACACATAGTAAGTCAATTTGAAATGTACATACAAAGAATTCCTATCTGTTTTGTTAAAGATTGTTAGTGGTATATGATCACCGGGATGAATTATCCTGCTTGTGAAGTTGAAATGCATTTCTTGATCCATTTACCTTTAATAACAAAAATATAATCTGACAGTTAATTGATATAAAACAAGGACCATAACTCTGCACAAAATCATAAGACCGGAACAAAATAAATTAGAACTTGATCTGTAACTTGTCATGATAAAACTATATACCAATTATTAAATTAATATCTTTAAGCATGACAAAAAAAGTGCGGAAAACTAATTATTTAAGTGAATTTTCTAAGTCCAAGGACCATAACTCTGCACAAAATCATCAGACCGGAACAAAATTCGAACTTGATCTGTATCTTGTCATGATAAAACGATATACCAATTATTAAATTAATATCTTTAATCATGACAAAACAAAGTGCGGAAAACAAATTATTTAAGTGAATTTTCTAAGTCCAAGGACCATAACTCTGTACAAAATCATCAGACCGGAACATATTTCGAACTTGATCTGTAACTTGTCATGATCAAACTATATACAAAATTTTAAATCAATATTTTCATGCATGAAGAAAAGAATTGTGAAAAACTGATTTGCCGGACTGACGGATGGACAGACAGACAGACAGACAGACAGACAGACAGACGGAGTGCAAACCTAAAGTCCCCTTCGACTTCGTCGGTAGGGGACTAAAAAAAGACAGACAAGCTATTCTAAATAAATTCATCATTGATACCAGGATTCAAATTGTGTACCCCAGACACGCGTTTCGTCTACAAAAGACTCATTCATTCCATATTTCAGACACACATAAAATTATTGGAACCTATTTGACTTTATAAACGGAATATCAAGAACGGATATAAACACAGTAAGTCATCCAGAAAAAAATGTTGATTTGAAGGTTTAGTGCTCACAAACTATATACGATATGTGCAGTATTAGGGAAGACACATGCTATCAAGTGTTCCTATTTACTTTTTATTCTAATTATTATTTTGTAGTTTTCAATTAAACAGCTGATAGTTTCCTTTGAATAGTGTTAAGATCTAGTTGATGAGTTGTATAGATTTCGATATAGTATTTGACACAGTATAGTGATGATTGGATTTTCACCTTTTTTGTTGGTTCCTGTTATCCCTTTTTATGTTCAAGCATTTTTTAAATTCTAATTATCTTTCATGGAACCGATTTATTTTAATGTAACACACTTTTTCTTTTATGTCAATATATGTTAACTGTTTTTAATACGGTTCCTCTAATTCATATAACTCTTACCAAAATTAAGATATCTTTTCATCAAGGTTACATTTTAAGGAATCGCTTCGCAGCACTTTTCCTAGTATTTGTCTGAACCGTCTTCGTCTTTTGATAATCATTTGAAATGTTAGAAATTCGAACATTGAACTCTGTGACTTCCTGAAAAAAGACCGTATCAAATGTTGACAAACAGTTGTTACTCAACACAATTTCATTTCGTGTTTATAGGAACCTGTTGTTCAGTGGTTGTCGTTTGTTGATCTGGTTAATAAGTGTTTCTCGTTGTTTATATAGATTAGACCTTGGTTTTCCTGTTTAAATGGTTTTACACTAATCATTTTTGGGGCCTTTTATAGCTTGCTGTTCGATGTGAGCCATGGCTCCATGTTGAAGGCCGTACTTTGACCTATAATGGTTTACTTTTTACAAATTGTGACTTGTCTCATTGGCACTCATACCACATCTTCTTATATCTATGCACCATAAACATATTAATACCACACCAAAGAAATCCTCAAACTACATAGTACATAATAATGCTACACGATCCAGGGAGCATTTAATGCTTTTATACTAATTCATTTGAAGAAATTATCTCTGATTACTTTGGACATACACATCAATTACTTGAAAGCAAAATTCAAACTTTTTTTAGTAAAAAAACTAAGCGTCGACATATGAAATTTATGCGCTGCTCAAAGAAATTTAAGGTCATAATCCTATATAACTGTATATTATAAATTATGAGGCACCTACCTTAATTGCTTCTTGAACAAATAAAACTGTTTCACAGATATTTTCAATCAAGATTAAAGGTGACAGTATTTCTGATATTGGAATACATTTGTTATCTGCTCCAGCAATGACTCCAATGTTGCCTTCCTGCATTCTTATATGTTCTTTCCACCACAGCTCTTGGGAAGAAATATATTCTACTAGTGGATGGTCATGACTTATTGCGTTCCTAAGAGCAAGACATCTATGTACAAAAACTAACAACGGGTGTTGTAATTTTTCTAAATGTGCCATGTGTACATTTTTTGTCTGGTGTAGAATTTCTTTAGCTTCAGGGTGCAATGTCTTATGAAATCTTTCATCTAGAGCCTCTACCAGACTGCGCCCGTTAAGTTCTTCTAACCATTTGTACAATGTAACGACATGTCCAAGTTTCACTGAATCTACAGGTTCTGGTAATATACGTTTAAAAATATTTGAATTCATCCCAGTAACGCTTTGCCATTTTTCTAAATATTCTATAAGTGGCTGACTATTGTCCCCTCCTGTTTTTTTTAGAAGGGCCAATACCATTCCTAATTGAGTGAGTAGATCTGTTACAAACGCAGCATCACGATCGACCTTGACATCAACTGATTTTCTTATCTCATTCGTGAGTTGGTGTTGTGGTATGCTCTTTTCGAGATCAGACAAAAGTTCTACACTATTTTGATATAAATCATCTGTAAAAACTGGCTTTGGAAATCGAGTTGGAAACTCAATTTTCATTTTTCCCATCAAAATATCTTTCTTAACTTCTTCCTCAATCTTTTCGTAGTCAAATAGTAATCTCTGTCCTAATCCATAGCGTGTATCACTTTGACAGAATTTTAACCAATTATCATTCCATCTAAACGTGACAATTTCATTACTTTTGACATCAAGTAGAGCCACAACTTGTTGTATCAGTTTGAACTTTTTATGCCGTTGTTTATGCCCTAAGATATCATTGGATTGATCCAGGAAAGTGTTATGAATTTGGACTAATTCTTGAAGTAAAAGTAACAGTGATGATTCATCATTCCATACTGTACAATATTCCATTTTTACAGTCGTATTCATCTGTTGCATACGAGAAGTAACGGTATTTGCCATGACATCACAGTAATTGTCTTTAATTTCATTCCAGGCTTTTTTAAACTGCTCGAAATATTTTTTGAGAATATCACGTCTTGAGTCATCTATTTCCTGACTAAAGAATTTTTGAACTGATAAATCTCGGAAATCGACTTTTCTGAATTTATAACTAGCATATGTTATAACGGACATATGCCAACGAAGCAAAGCAGGTAGAAATTGTGGAACTATTAGTCTGCCCGTGCTCTTAAATACAAGATGTAGGAAAGCAAACTGTTGTGTTTCCCCACAACACAGTTCATTGATGAAAATGTCTTTCGTTGGTGGATGTAACATCCTAAACAAACGGAAAATGACCTTATCTATGCAAACAGATTCAGTTGGTTCAATAATTTCTTCAATATATGCTTCAATGCATGGCGTCTTTTGGCTGATCGCGTATTGACTGATCTTGAAATCTCGAATTACCTGCCATCTGTTAGCAACTAAATGTTTAATGATATCAATACATTTTGAACGAATGTTGTTTTTTTCTTTTGTTGTAAGTGATTTATTTTCACAAAAAATAACAGCGTTGCATTTCAAAATCACAACATGCATCAATATGCAGAGGTTGCTTGAGTCCAGCTGAAGCAGATGTTGTAACTCAACAAACTGCTTGATCATGTCTTGTTGGCGAGACTGACTGAATTTTCGAAGTGTTTCATCTGATGTGAAACGAAAGCCTACAGAGCCTACTATGGTACTGTAACTGAGTAAGAGTAGAATCTTTTGGTCTGCGTTTAACATATTTTGTGAGTAAATAAATGGAAGATCCTCCAATGTTGTTTTGTCCGGTTTGAATAAATTGATAAACCAAATACTCTGCATATTTGTCTCAACGGAAAGGAGACAACACAGATGAAGTACAATAGAAACCAAGTGAGGATATGGGCTCTCTGATGCAACAGATAATGAAAATAATTCATTGTCGAAGTCATTTCCTAATAGGTACTGCGATATATGCTTACAACTTTGTGGTAGTTTTGACTCATCTACAATTCTACAAATTGCAGTTGCCATTCTGTGCTCTTCATCAGTAAGTTCCCTCACACATTTTTGCATATAAAATCGTTTGGATAGTGTACCAAGCAATGCTGTAACAACTGTTCTTTCATCCTCTAATAGGTCTTGCAATTTGTTTTCTTTTTCCAAAACTGAATTGATTTGTTGCAATAGTTTGTTTGCCAATTCTAAATCAATGTGTGCAGCCAGCGGATTGAGTACAACAGACGATTCAATATAATTTATATTCCAATTAATGCTTTGCAAAGTTGTCAAAGTATTCTGAACCGGTTTGCAACTCCGGTGTATCAATTCTATTCCGTGACGATTAGCAAAGTATTTCATCAAATATACTAACAACGGATTTGGCAGTTCTTCAGTACTAGCTTTCCATATCGTTGACACAACTGTATTAATGTGATGAGAAACAATTGGCATTTCAGATGTGTCAAGTTTACATTGCTCAAGTGCCACATAATATGTCTGAAAAAATTGCTTTAGAAACGCTACTGCTGTTATATACCTGAACGACATGGTCTTGCTATTTAAAACGTCACAGGCCTGTAGAAAACATCTGATAGAATTATGAGAGGCGGATTCGATCTGGAAAAGAATCGCGGTGTTGAGTGAATCTTCCGAAAATGATTTCTGAACAACGTCGATCAGTAGACACGGCAGTACATCAGATTCCTCATTTAACAGGTCTACAGTTTTCATAAAACTATCGAAACATTCTACAAATGGCGGAACTTCGCTAAGTTGGTTTAATATAATTTCTTCTAGTAAATGTTCATTTCCAGATTTATCTACATACAGTGCAAATTCAAGACATTTTCCGAAATATGCCAAACGACTATCAAATGTAGCACCTCGTGCTATATTGGTCAACATTAATTTCAATATCTCATTGTCGCTTGGGTTGGAAAGAAGGCTCCGCATTACATATGAACAAAATAGCTGTTGGAGTTTTGATACATCAGCACTGCTTTCAACCTGGAGCTGTTGAAGGATACTCAAAATCAGATTAAATACGGATGGCGAGTCTATCTGTCCTTCATTTTCCAAAAATAGTTCTCCAAGCAAAAACACTGATTTGGGTTTAAAGTTATCAACTTTCAGAACTAAATGGATAATTTCTTGACAAAGTTGCAATGCTGGCATAATAGTGGATTCATCTGTCACCTCTTTTGCTATGGGCAAAATAACCTGAGTAATTTCCAGCCATGCTAGTAACGAATACGAATGTATAACTTTGGCGGTTGGTAACAATTTTAAACACAGACTGTCTACAAATGCTGGTCTACTCAGATTCGAAATGTAAAGTGTTTCACTCCCAAAATGCATGCCTTCTTCTTCAAAATCTGTTTCGACAGCAGCTTCTTTCCATGAAATTTTGATGACTTGTTCTGAGAGGGCTACTAGTTGGCATATTGAAGACACCGTTGAGCTGTTAAGCCAAAATGCTGCATGAATCGTTGCTATAACTTGGACAATATCTTCCTGTTGGAAAGTGAGAGGTTGAATGAAATGCTTTAGTGCCCAATAAAATATATTCATTGTTTTATGTTTGTCCTTGATGTTTGCAATGCCCGAGGAATTGACGCAACAGAAATCATGGACATAATCATCTATCCTTCCGTCATAAACAACATTATAAATATCATCCACATCATGGCAAATCAAGTCGGTGCACCCAGATACAGTCTTTTCAAACAACTCAAAAGGAATGTCTTCATATGGTTCAATATCATTTTGTATTCTAATTTTCCGTATAATGTCAATGAATTCATCCTTTCGCAAATCTATTTTGTTCATAATCAGTGCACTAAGTGGCATTTTCAATGGAAGAAATGTGACACTGCAGGAATAACATTCAGGACCTGTCACTGGAGGCAGCTTCTCTATACTTGTATAACTTTTAGAAAGGACAATTTCTCTCCAACTGTTAGTTCTTTCGATCGAGAATTCATCTACAACAAAAACTTGACTTAGAATCTGCAGTTCAAGCAGACGGTACAGGTACATTGCAAGCGGTGATTTTATAACATCATGTATACTGTTTTCACATGCTTGTACTAATGCTCCAGATTTGTAAAGTTCATGAGAGTTTTTTGCGACATCAATGCACCATTGATAATGGTCATTAGACGACTGTTCTTCTATCCAATTCAAAATCAACTCCTCAATCGTACTGATTGCTGCCTCACTTAAACGCAACTTGTCTATAATGAATCTTTGATTTTCAATTGTGTTGTTTTCACTCGTAAATCTTATTCTAGTAAAAGCCCAAAATAGATTATCAACAATGTATTCGTTCAGAGGCCTACGTTCCTTTACTATATCGTATTTGCTTGTACAAATAAAACGGCCTATTGTTGTTGCCGGTTTTTCCAGACCATCAATAAAAATAATTTTCCAGCCGGACAAAAAATTTATTGGCACTAGCTGCTGATCATTTGCAACATTTCTATCTAGATGAATTATCATACATACATGTTTTTGCTTCAATTGACATTTTCTTCGGATGTTTTCTACGATGACCTTTGAAAGTAGTAAATGTTGACCATCGAGAGCTGCACTACACTGAAGCAACAATACAGATTTTTCTGAATTAAAAAAATCCTCAATTTTACCCGAAAGATGCTTTTCTGATTTGAATGAAGACAATCGTTCAATCTGATGTGAATCTTCACTGAAAAGTGATCGAATATTACAATGAATATTCATGTATGTATAAAATAACAGCATCTCTCCGTTGGTTGAACTTGTCGTTAGTTCGTTGTTTCCATCATTATCACTCGATCTAGATATCAACAATAAATCTAAACACTGTGAAAGACCTTGGTGAATTGGTAGTTCCATATACATTTCTAATAAATTTTCAACCCTGCCTGAACTTTTATAGTAAAGTTTACTTTCCATCGCACGAACCATTACCTCTGGTGGTATCATCCAAAGTATAAGACTTATAGCCATTTCAAAAAAGTGTTTTTGATTCAGGATTTCCGACTTCTCGGTATTTCTTAGAAACAATATCAAGGAAACTAGTAGGTCATGATTGTAGGATGGAATAGTATTTTCAGGTGTGAACATACACCCTTCAACATGGCACAATTCCATAAGCATTTCTTCTATTTCACTTATAATATCCCCAAAGTCATCACTGTATATCAAATCTGAAAACCTGAATTGCTGTTTTTCAAATCTATTTAAAAAAGGGGGATCTGAATAATCCAATTTCGTTTCCTCTACAAGAACTATGCATTTGAATGCGTCATGAACATGACACATCGGATTACTGTAATGTCCTAAAGCTATACGACAGTTCTTCTTGTTGCCAACAATTGTGTAATTCTGATTTAACATGTCATATAAACTACCATAAATTGATTCAAGGCCCTTTAGAATAAGAACAAGTCCTTGTTCCATGCAAAGAATAATACGACTCAAGATACGGTAATTGTAGTCGTCACTAAGGTCATCTTCAAAATGACTTCCAAAAATGATTTCAAATGGCCGTGTTGCATCATTTAAATGTGATTCTAAGACACTTATTACAGCATCTCCGTTTGTTAGTAACATCAAATGTCTACAAACATTGTCGTCAAGATTCTCCTTAATGAGATCTGTAACGGGTATAGGCTTTTGTTTTAAATTTGGAACCGATTCCTGAAATATTCCGACAATTTCCATCATTTCAGTGGGTAAACCTCCAAAATTTCTTGCAATGCCTTTCAGAATGATATCAGTTTCTGACTTATCAAATCGACTAGACAGTTGACGACAACGACAGACATACTTTATTAACGAGTAATAGTCACGAAGTCCGTGAAAATTTGCAAACCTCTGACGATCTGCTGTATATTTATAGTATGCTATAGCTATTTCGTCAAATGACATTTCTAATATATCAGAGATATCTCTATTTTCATGAGAATCGTCAGTTTCCCACACAGTTTCGCTTTTCATTTCTTCAAGCATTGCGGAACTTATTGCATGACCTGTATATTTTAATTCATCTAAATCCATATCTGGTCTGGATAAATGAATAGCTCTATTCATCTTAGCTGCATCAAGAGCCCAGTTTGAGATGCCTACAACGGAGACATTTGGGTTTTGTTTATTTCCTGGTTCCAACAGGCCATGTAAAACTTTCAGTGGATTAAACCTTGAAATCTCTGCAAGACCTATCTCATCTAAAATGACTACAGAAATCACATCTTTTTCATTGTGCTGTTGATATTTTTCAGCCTTTTCAAATACCTTTATGATGCCGTCAGACGTACTTGATTCTGAGCCTTGAAATGAAACGCAAAATAACTGAGGCATGTTTTGAAATAGTATATCCTTGGAATCTTTTCCACGAAGATTACTTCTGATTAACTGGATGGAAAGTGATTTGCTACAACCAGGTTTACCAACAAGAAATATTGGAATTTTGTTCAAAATGCAAACAAGAACTACAAAAACGTTTTCTTGTAATGCAGTATTTTTAGCAATTCCATTTGGAAGGGTCATACGGTCCAAAATGTTCTTTTGTTCATCGCGTATTATCTTCAATACGCCTTCTGAGGAAATGGGATAATGTTCTTTGGAAATAATATGAGATATTTTTTCTCGATAAGCTTTTCGAACTTCAACATTTTCAAACCTACTGTGATAGCAAACTGCAAGCGCGAGTACAATAGCCTTCGTCTCTATACCGTACGCGACGCCAGTTGCTGTCCGTTTCTTCTGAAGGAACTGCAGAAACCATTGAACAAGTTTTTTGCAGCGATCAACATCACGTAGGCTAACACAACTATCCGTTGCCTCCTTTGCTCGAACAAAACTCTGCGACATTGCTAGTATATTGGTGAGTAACGGTTCAAAAACGATTGAGTTAAAATTAACATCAAAAACTCGGTTGACCATTTTTGAAATATAGAACTGTTCGTCCTTTTCATTTAAACTGCCATAATCCCACACATAATCGATGAGCGCTTCAGGTAAGGGATGAACCCGATATGCAAGCCTGGAAAGTTCATCTGTTTTTACCTTTCCTTGTAATCCGGAAGTAAAAATTGTTGAGTGTTTTCTCATCCTGTATGGATTACAAGCAGCCAGGATAGTAAGATTTGGAGCCAGATCTTCGTTTTGAATATACCGGTGACAAATGACGCTATTAATCAGCCCTAAGTGGTCACATGTATTGATTTCATCAAGAAATAGCCAAGTACTTGAGTGTAGACAACTCAAAGCTTTCCTATTGACTTCTTTAATTTTTTGTAATATGCATTTAGCATCTATCCCTGCATGAATACTGAACAACTCAAAGTCGACATCTGATATTTCTGCCAAATAACGTACCAGTGATGTCTTTCCGCATCCGGTTTCTCCCATTATTACAACAGGTATCATTGCATTGATTCGTAGTGATATCAATATCATTTTCAACAAATTATCTGGTGTAAGTGCGTAGTCTGCTGCCAATGTATCCAAAGTCTTATCTGACAACTTATTTGCTTTGCTCCGAGTTAACATCTGCAGTATATCTTGCAATTCTGTTTGAGTTTTACATTTGAAATCATCAATGGGCTTTTTCATTTGACTTTCAAATAAACATTTAATGTTTTTTGGAACCTTAGCTATATCTCGATAAATCGCTGACACAGTTTGTACATTTTGATGGAAAAGAATCATAAGATGATTACTATCTTCCCATCTTATCATTCCTGCTACCCGTTGTGCAAGTTCGTAGGTTGAACTATTGTCGCGATATGACTCACTAGATGTGTGCAGACTTGCCGCCTGCGATAAGCGACACGACTGGACTGATCTGCAGGCGAATTCCTGACACGATTCCACCAGCACCTTTACTAAATTGGACTTCACGCTTGGTAGATTATTTTCGCCTATCATGACTGCAATATTGGATGTCCTGAAAAATACACTGGACGAAAGTTTCTTCAGTTGGTCTGCAAGGACATTTAGAAATATATGTAGTAAAGTATATGACATATCTCCTGCTGAAGAAAAATACTTTTCTAATAAAATCCTACATTCATCAGCTTTTAAGGACTTTGGGGTATTACTTCCTGTCAGATATATGTCAGTTCTGTCTAGTCGGCCTGTATCTAGCGCTTTTAAGTATTGACATACTACTTGTATTGGACTGTTTCTTTCCATGCACACCTTTAAGTCATAATAATTGTTCCAGTCTAGATTTATCCTTTTTAAACAAGTAGTTGTTGGTAATGAATTGCAAAGTGTCTTTCCTACTGTATTAGATATTTCAATGAATACATGATCTGTGCTTAAGGTGTAGGCATCTGAACCAACTGATATATGTCCAAGAATAATCAGCTGAAACAACACTGAATCCAATTCAGATGGTGACGGCGTAATACCGATATCAATATGAAGGACACTGTATTGTTTTAATTTCAGTAAGTGAAGATTTCTCACAATGGCCTGTGAATCAACTTTTCCACTCACATGTAAAGTTGCTACAGATAATCCTTTGTCCCTGGCCATACTATGTACCATTTCTGTTTTCCCTAAACCTGGAACATCAGAGGATATAACATAAACATTTGGCCAGTTCCTCCTAAGACATTCCTTCAATGAACTCTCTGTCATGGGTGTGGGACGGGAAAGACGATCCGAAAATTGATCTAAAAATGGGTGATGGATATGTCCACGGCAAATAACTGAAAGTAAGAAATTTCCAGATTGCAAATGTAGCAAAATATCAACAAATTGGTTCTGTATATCATTTGTTAGCATTTCGATATTGATAATGCAAAACAGAATTCTTTGGTCTTGTGTAGATGGAATATCAGTACAACGCTTCAAAAAAAGAATTATTTCATCAATTGTAGTTTCTTCTCGACAAAAAAGGATCTGACTAGCATCTGGTAGTTGGTTAGTAGTATTCATGAATAAAGCAAACATTGTCCTTATAACAAGTGGACTTTCTTCTTCTAAAGCTACTATATATGGAATTCCAACATGAACTATATCAGTTATTTTTGGTTCCTTGACATATGTAGCAAGAGGTTTATCAGGAGTATGATATCCTCCGAATACACTCTGCAGTGTTATTGCAATGTTCTGCAGTATACCATCATTTGAAGATTTAGATGATAAAGATGTAAACTCCGTTTTTAAAGATTCAATGTTGTTGAATGAACGGTTTATAAATTGAAGACTAGTAAGAATCATTTCTTCATTTTCATGATTTCTGTGCAAGTAATCAAACAGTTGTTGCAATTGAGCAGGATGCATAAAATTCATATAATAATACTTTCCTCGGCAAAAATTCAGACTCTTTGTCCATTCATCATACTCGTGTGTTAACTGCATACTTAGATCATGGAGTTTGTGTTGGTCACAGCTATCTTCATAACACATATAATCAAAGTGTCCAGCTTGTTTTAATTGAAGGCACATACTTGAAATGTTAAACGCTATATCAACCACTAGAAGAAACCTTTCAAGATTCTCTCTTTTTCTGTTGGTTTTTTGTCTACTTCTATCCCTATCTTCAGCATTCATTAGCAACAGGGCACGGCTTCGTAGATCACTTAAGCCAGCACTGTTATGTGACACCGGTTTCCTACCCTGTTTATATTTTACTGTAATGTCACAGATGTGGTCTTTCAGACAAAAGCAAAACTTGCCTCGTTTAATAATGCTATCGATTATTTCTTTCGTCCTTTCTCCTCTATTTGCAACATTTTTATATAAGGACCTTAATGTATGAAGATTGTCTCTGCAATCATGAATTTTGGCTGGAATATTTTTAGCTCCTGAAGTGAGTTGTTTTCTGAGTAGCGAAAAGAAGTTGGTCAAGTCGCCTTCATATGTTTTCTTCAAGATTGGATACAAAAACCTCTTTACTTCAATTAAATCTGAGACTGTTGATTCTCTGACATATTGTTCTGAGTGTTCTTCTACAGCATCAATCAAGTTTCTGATATCTTCGTCAACTACTTCATTTAGGAAATTTAAGAGAGAAACCGCAGACTTCAGAACTTCTAAAACCTCGGTTACCTCAGGACTTATATACTGGCATAAGTTTTCAACGCTATCCAAAACGCCTTCCATTTCATCCATAAACATATCTTTCAAGTCTTCGCTCTTTTTCGCTTTGAACAACTTATTGAAAGACTTTACAACATTTGTATATGTTTGAACATTTTCTTTAAACTCGAAAGTATTGGTGCAATTTGTCACTGCTTCGACTGTTTTCGAATAGTTCTTTAATTCTGCAAATTTCAATAGAGTATTCTTTAATTTCATTGCACTACGTATCCGACAAAACTCTTCAGCAATTTTTATTTCTTGTTCCATATCCTTTGCAGACGTGACTTTGGAAAACATTCTTTTAAACTCATCTAGAGGTCTATTTTCACTTCTCAAATATGGCGTCCACAACTGCTTGTATCTTTCTAGGCAGATGTTGTTGATGCTTTGAATAAAGGCTATAGCATCTGTTATTCTAAAGCTTTTTGTCATATCAAGTTCAACTTCTCCTCCAAAAAGAACTGATAAAGTGATGCCATTCAGAACATTTCCTTTCGTATCTTCTTTGTCATCAGCCGATACTTTTATTGTCTTTCGACCGCATTCCTCCTGTAATATGTTCCAAAACACTTGAGATTTTATAATTTTCAATAACAAATTACAACTCTCCGATAATTCACGAATGTACTCTTCGAATTCGTTTTCCTGCAGAATATCAGCAACCGAGAGTTCATCTTGTTTTACTTGCTCTTGTTGACTCTGAAGAAACACCATTGTATTGCTAATGACTGAAGGCATGATTTCCATAGTAAGTCCTGATCTTAATATTTTAAAAGTTTCGTGAATAAGCTGAATGTTTGTAAGATGCTCATCAACGGTTGTGCAACAAATCATCCACTGTCCTTGTAATTTTTGTTTTGTCTCGTCCCTTTTACTATCTAGACGACATGTCAAAAGTGTTAACATGTCGTTTTCTTTTTTTTTCAGTCTTTTTATTAAACAACTTCCTAAATGCCTTCCTTTGAGTAGATTTTTGAAATTATCAATCGATCTGGCTACCATCATACAGGGTTCGTAAGTCAACAGTGCATCACGTATAACAGGATTCCCTTCCGCCGTAAATATCTCCTTCCAAAATGTAGCGTGATCTAATGCTTTCAAAAATACCTCTTTCAAATCATATTCATCGCATATTCCAAGGAGATCTACGATAATGGTGATGATATTAGCTGTTAAACTGTAAAAGAAAATTGAAATAAATCGGAGGGGGTGAAAACAATTGTCTTCTGAAATATCAACCCATATAAACTCAAAATGTTATAAACAAGAGTGAAAATGCAGAAATGTCTAACCAGCTTGACTTGTCAAGATTGAATTGTATACCATTCACCGAATATTGCTAGCCTATTGCTTAAAGTATCTGAGAAACTGATCTCAACAGGAAAATTGAACATTGACCTATGAACCATAAAAATGAGGTCAGATGTTCAGATTTACCCTGCAAGACAACATGGACACCTTTTAATAATTCCACACACCGAACATAATTGAGTTTTTGCTTATAGTATCCGAGAAACAAACATTACAATGAAAACTTAACGTTGACCAATGAATTTTCAAAATGAGGTCAAGGTTATATGAAATCTGCTAGACAGACGTGTACACCTTACATTCATTCCATTCACCAAATATAGTGACCATGTTGCTTATAGTATCCGAGAAATGTACCAAATGGGACAAACTTAACATTGTCCTATGAATCACGGAAACAAATGGGCAGATAAAACCTGCTTGGCAGACATCTGATGGTCAGTAGTTGTCGTTTGTTGATGTGGTTCATAAGTGTTTCTCGTTTCTCGTTTTTTATATAGATTAGACCGTTGGTTTTCCCGTTTGAATGGTTTTACACTAGTAATTTTTGGGGCCCTTTATAGCTTACTGTTCGGTGTGAGCCAAGGCTCCGTTAAATTTTGACTTGGATGGAGAGTTGTCTCATTGGCACTCATACCACATCTTCTTATATCTATGTTCACTTTACAATCATCCAACACACCAAATATAGTTGACAATTGCTTATAGTATCTGAAAAACAGACTGAACCACTATATTTAGCATTTGCAAGTGAACCATGAAACCTGCCAGTCAGACAAGTACACCTTACCATAATTCCACACATCAAATATAGTTGACCTTTTGCTTACAGTATCTGAGAATCAGACCAAACCACAAAAACATATCATTGGGCAATGAAGCATGAAAATGTGTTTGGACATGTACACCTTACAATCATTCCATACATCAAAATATAGTTGAGCTATTGTTTATAGTATATGAGATATGGACCACGAAAACGTAACGTTGATCACTGATCTATTAAATGAGGTCGAAGTCAAGTGAACCCTATCTGACGGACATGTTGACATTGCAAGATCACATGTAGCAAATATAGACATTCTATTACCCATTACAAGTGAGTACTTTATATAACAAAAAACAACAACTCAGAAATGTTTTTAAACAGTCGCTGAACCTTGAAATTTAGATCAAGAACAAAGGACATGTGACAGACGGAACTAAGTAACATGAGGCATCAGCATATCAATGACTTCTACCTTCTGAATTATAAAGCTTTAAACAAATATTTTACGCCGTCGCCGTCGCCGCCGCCGCAGAATTGTTATCCCTATGTCTCACATTCGGCGTTTTTCGACCGACCGTGTAAGACCCTCATGGGTAGCCAAGGTCGTTAAAAAAAACCTTTTTCGTCGTCTTTCGTCGCGGGCGAAACCAACAAGACTTTTCTTGTAGCAGTAATAGTTTAAGCACCAAGAAACCTCAATAGATAGCAAATGGTGACCTTGCAATCTGAAAAAAAACCTGACTTATCAGAACTATAATCAAACAAAACGTTGTACCCCGGAATGAAACTCAAATCAAAGAGCTTGATCGCTCTGAGGGATACGATCGCCATTGTTTCCATTGATATTACTATTCTTTCTCAAAAGTCATTCAACTGTATTCCCTATTTGATTCAATCTAATTATAGTTCTTTTATTTAAATAAATGGGGAATGTGTCCATGGGACACAGATGGATGATGCCCCCGCTTGCATATCATATAAAGTTATAAAGGGACATAACTGAAGAACGGTAAAAGTGTAGCTACCCAAATTTGTACTTGATCTGAGGTAATAAATATTGTGTATAAGTTTCATAACATTTGGTTGAGGCTAACTTAAGTTAGAGAACGGAAACGAAAAATTCAGCAATTTTTCCATTTGTAAAGGAGCATAACTTTAGAACGGTTACAGTGACACCACCAACATTCAAACTTCATCTGTATTTTGTGGTAATAAGCATTGTGTATAAGTTTCATAACATTTGGTTGAGGCTAACTTAAGTTAGAGAACGGAAACGAAAAATTCAGCAATTTTGCCATTTGTAAAGGGGCATAACTCTAGAACGGTTAAAGTGACGCCACCAAAATTCAAACTTGATTTGTGTTTTGTGGTAATAAGCGTTGTGTATAAGTTTCATAACATTTGGTTGAGGCAAACTAAAATTAGAGAACGGAAACCAAATTTGGGACGTACGTACGTACAGACGGACAAGGGCAAAACTTAATGCCCCCTCCGCTACGGCGGGGGCATAAAAAAATTGCCAATCTCTGGTACAAGTGTATATCTTTAAATAAATAAAGTAATAATTGTGTTTTAAGTTTTGCTTTACAATTGCCTCATTGCTTGAAATTAAAACACACTCATTTTGAAAATATGCCTTCTTAATGTTCTTATCAATCCTTCATTCTCAGTGTCAAATATACATTTGTAAAAGCCTCAACAATTGTCAATCTGTTCATTCTTTTGCTTTAGGGTTCATATGGCCAAAACTGTCCCAGACGTCTTCCAAAACTGCAGAAATTTAAATGACGATAAAGTTCCTGGTCAAGATGATAAATTCTACCATGTATGTAAGCTTTTGGGAAAACGGTCTCTTGAGTTACAATGTTTAAATTGTATGGTACAAACAGAAAGACTTTGTCCCTAGAGACGCATGTGGCAGTAATCAGTAAAACTTATCCATAACCTTAAAACGAATATACCTTCCACCTTTTTTTGAAATTGTCTATGTTGTGCATGGAAAGGCATTTCAAAGGGAGTGCGATTGATTGCAGCATAATTGATTTCTTTTGCATGTTTAATTTCTTTTAGAATTTATGTCATAATTTGCTCTTTTTCTTTTTACTTTTGGTATCTACCGGTACTGTTCATGAAATTTGATGAGTCATTCTTTCTTTTCTATATTTTTTAAAAAGATTACAAGTTATTGAGTTGCAAAAAATGTGATTGGCACAATTTATTTTAACCAAATATCCTACAGGGTTAAACTGAACAATGTTTTTTTTTTTATGTTCATCATCTTCGTATTTGATTTGGCTTTCTTAAGGGTTTGATTCAAGCGGCACTGATGAGTCTTGTGTAGCCAAAACGCACTTCTGGCTTAATTAATTATAAGCTTATCGTTAACAAGTTTGTTTTATTCCGGCGTTTGCTGTTGTCAGTATATAAAAAAATCGACCTTTTTTCAGATGCAATTCTTGATCATGAAGTGCTAATGTACAAGGTTCATTACATTCAATGAAAGTTTTAGGAAGATATTAATACTTACAATTTATTGATGTATGAAAAAATGTAACCTTAAAAGAATTAAAATTTTGCTCTGGATACTGTCTTTTGATCATAATGAACAGATGTATTTGTCACAATCCTGGTCGTTTTCCAAAATTCCATAAAATTTTGAAAAGACATATTGATGTCTGAAAAACTTTTTGTCATTGAATAGAAGTTTCTTTATAATATCAGTTCAAAGGGAAGACATATTCTGGAATAATTTTTCCATTGGAAGAAATATTACAGTATTTGTCCCTGACAGGATAAAAAGTATACACTATTTGTTCTCACAAGAACAGATATTATAACATTGTTTTTAACAAAGTTTCCACTATAATTTATGTTAATAGTAACAAATGTACTTTCACAACTTGAATGGAATGGTCTATTCACAGGTAATCTATTAATAGCCAAGTTCATTATCGATCAACTCAAGATTTTTTTTATTCAAACAGGAATAATTGCAAGTAAACACATCTGATGATTATTTAAATAGTCAACATGTTAAGAGAATTTGACCTTAATCATTTGATCAACTGCGAGAAACAAGTTGTATGTAGTTTCTTAGTGATAATATGAAAGACTTTATTTTGTCTCAGGGTGTGTTCTTTTTCTACTTCTTCTATTAAGCTATTAATTACATTTTTTTTTAGTGTGTTGTTCGTGTACGATTTAAAATCAAGCTACACAAATGACCCTAAATAGCGGATAAAAACACAGAAAAGATTTCTTGAGTTGCAAATCAATCATCGGAGTGAGGAACCCAGAACAACCATTTCGTCTGATGCCCCAAAAGTCAAGAAAACTACGCATGCGCTTACTTGTTTATTACATAAATAAACTGTTAGGAGTATGTATTGAATGAGGTAAGATAACATTTGAACTGTGGTTCTCCATTACTTATGGATTTCATAAAGATAATCTAATAAGATCAACACACCTTCAGTATGTCTCTGACGGAAATATATTCATTCCAGAACCACTCTGACTCTCGCATTTGAACAAAAACAGCGGAATTCCCATTTTGACGTGATGCTTAATATATAAAACCCTAAATAAAGGTTCTGCTTAATACTGAGTTTTTCGTATTCTTGTTATTGTAAAATATAAGCAAATAATAAAATGCTTCGCTGAGCGCAGCCTGATACGACCGCAGAGGTCGAACCCTGAACAGTTGGGTCAAGTTTGGACACAATATTCAAGCTTGATACTGTCTGAATTTGGATTGTGATCACATTTTTGACATAATATAGGTTTCTGACACAAAATAAATGTGGTCAAAGATCTTAAAAATTTAAAATGGGACATTTAATTTACCTAGAATGAACTAATATTCAAAATCTAACAACATGGTTAGATTCAGCATATCAAAGATCATAAAAAAAAAAACCAAAAATTTAATTTTAGTTGAAATCAAACAAAGTTTAATTTTGGACCATTCAAACCTTAAAATGGACTAATTTGAAAACAGGGCTCCCCAAAATAAAAAAATCTAAATGCACAATAAGATTCAGCATATCATACAGCCCCAATTATTCAGTTTTTGATGAAATCAAACAAAGTTTAATTTTGGACCCTTTTGACCTCAATGTATACCAATTTAAAAATGGGGCCCAATATCCAAAATAGCAATACGAGGTTAGAACCCCCAAAAATTAAAGAATTTAAATTAATCCCATTGAAATTGGTTAAAAGATTTGTATTTATTTTCGATTGAAGATTTCTTGCTATTGCGCAATACTGTGCTGTTGCGCAATAATGTGCAATTGAAGATTTCTTGCTATTGCGCAATACTGTGCTATTGTGCTTTAATTTGCTGTTATGCAATAGTGTGCTATTGCGCAATACTGTACTATTGTGCAATACTTTGCTATTATGCAGTACTGTGCTATTGCGCAATACTGTGCTGTTGCGCAATACTGTGCTATTGCGCATTACTATGCAATTGAAGATTTCTTGCTATTGCGCAATACTGTGCTATTGAAGATTTCTTGCTATTGCACAATACTGTGCTATTGTGCAATACTGTGCTATTGCGCAATACTGTGCAATTGAAGATTTCTTGCTATAGCGCAATACTGTTCTATTGCGCAATACTGTGCTGTTGCACAATACTGTGCTATTGTGCAATACTGTGCAATTGAAGATTTCTTCTTGAAGCTTTTCAAAAATTTTGAAGAAAAAAAATATAAACCCTTAAAAAAAAATTGGAAAAAAATCCTCCCCAAACTTTTTGAACCCCCCCTAGAATAATTACCCCCAAACTCAATCCCATCCTTCCCTTTGTGGTATGGAACCTTGTAGTACAATTTTAGAGAAATCCATACACTTTAACACAAGTTATTGTCTGGAAACTAGAAAAATGCTTGTTTTTGGCCCCTTTTTGGCCCCTAATTCCTGAATTTCAGAAAGATCCATACACTTACACACAAGTTATTGTCCGTAAACTACAAAAATGCTTGTTTTTGGCCCCTTTTTTTTCCCTAATTCCTAAACTGTTGGTACCATTACCCCCAAAATCAATCCCAATCTTCCTTCTGTGGTATTGAACCTTCTGGTAAAATTTCACCATTCACTTAAACTAAAGTTATTGTCCGGAAACCAAATGTGTCTTCGGACGACGACGCCGACGCCAACGACGCCGACGCCGACGACGACATGATAGCATTTTACGAACGCAAAAAAATGTTTGTGGTCGTATAAAAAAGGAAGATATTAAAACATGAGGATTATGTGAAGAAATCAACGGAAAGTTGTTTAAAATCAATCTGTTTATAAAAAAGAAGATGTGGTATGATTGCCAATGAGACAACTCTCCACAAGAAACCAAATGACACAGAAATTAACAACTATAGGTCACCGTACGGCCTTCAACAATGAGCAAAGCCCATACCGCATAGTCAGCTATAAAAGGCCCCGAAATGACAAATGTAAAACAATTCAAACGAGAAAACTAACGGCCTAATTTATGTACAAAATAATGAAATGTTTGTTTGTTTCACTCTTTAAAACAAAACAATGTTAAGAATCTGAGTTATTCTTTAATATAAAGCACAAAACGGTTGACGTAAAAGGCTTGGAAAGGAGTCAATTTCCTAAATTGGTACAGGCTTTTATTTATGTATAAAATGGTAGATTAAACCTGGTTTAATAGCTAGCTAAACCTCTCACTAGTATGTCAGTCGCATAGAATTCCATTATATGGACAACAATGTGTGAGCAAAACAAACAGATATATTAGGTAAAACTGTCAAAGATTTGGGTATAATATTATAATATTATATTATAATATTAATCACTATAAAAGAAATAACTATTTAAAAAAAAACAAAAACAAAATGGCACATAGACACTCTATAGACAAAGTACATTAGCAAAAAAGAAAGACTAGGATACAAAAATGACCATAACACAATAACACAATGGCGGGATGTATAAATAAAAGTATAAATAAAAGTATTGTCTAAAATAGTAATGATAAATTAGACAAAAATGATGCTCCCGCGCTGGCCTTAGTAACAGTGGTGTTGAAGGAAAACTTGAGATGGTTGTGTCTTCAATGACACATTTGATGCACGGGCAATAAATTAGCACATATAAATTATGTACAAACTGTAGCTTAAAAGTCTTAGCTAGAAAACTGTAGAAGTTTACAACTCTTATACGTTGAATGTCTAATTTCAACAACCTGTCATTTATAGAAAATTTGAATAAAATCAAAACCCACGCCTTTGTTTATATTACTGACAACTTACATAGTATGCAATTTCTAGCTTGAAAACTGAAAAAAAGAGGTTGCCAGACAAACCATGTACCCCGCATGCCTTATATTATCAAAAAAAGCAACAGTAGTATACCGCTGTTCGAAAAAATGACAAAGTTCAGCAACCTTTCATATTTGGAAAAGTCAATAAAATAAAATTCCTAGCACAATTCACATCTTTCATATATGTACTAACACCGTACTTGAAATCCGTAGGAGGAGTAAGTCGGACATACAATGTACTCTATATGCCTTATATTTCTAAGAAACGAAAAAGTTCATTTGCGGAAAAGGTAAAGAAAATCAAAATCCTTACAAAATGAACACCTTTAGTATATGTATTAACATTCTACATAATATAAAAGTCATAGCTTGAAAACTGTTAGAGGGGTCATCCGTACAAACCATGTAACCTTTTCTAATAATAAAATGATAGAGTTAAACAACCCATTATTTTTTGAAAAGGAGTAGGTTCGGTAAGGGCCGATTCTGGCCTCAAAATTCAGGTTCATCTGATGAAAGATTTTGGACACTTTTTAAACACTTAAGTGTCTACTTCAGTCAATTCAATTAGTTTATGTCAAAGATTTGAACTGATTTAGTCATTAGAGATGCTCAAATGCAAGGTTCAATATGAAAAATCTATCAAATATGCCATAATATGTCACTTTTCAAATGGTTTTTGTCAAAAATGAAAGTGGCCGCATTCGTGTTCATTCCCAACCTTTATATATGTTATGTATTATCATCAAATACAACTTACATTTAAATATTAGGAATGAACACGAATGCGGCCACTTCCATTTCAGACGGAAACTGTCTAAAAATTAACCAAAATGCTAAAATTTCGAAGATTTCAGTAACTTAGCATGACTTAATGATGCTAGTATCTGATAAATGTGCATTGTTTTGTCAAAAACAGCCCATATTTATGTAACAAAAGTATTTTACGTTTTAATAAATAGCTTAAAGTTTACATTTTAACAATTTTGTAAAACTGCTATAATTTGGGGCCAAAAAGGGGTCTTACTGGACTTACTCCTTTACAGAAAATCAAAATCCTGACAATGTACACACCTTTAGTATATGGTCTAACACCCTACATACTATAACATATCTTGCTTGGAACCTTAGGAGTTAGCTTGAAAACAATTTACCCTATATGGGACGGACGGACAGGGGTAAAACAGTATCCCCAACTTTTTATCCCGGGTGCATTAATATAATTTCCTTACAACAACAGTTCGTATAAAAATCAACATTGCTAGTCTCCCTTTTTATTATGTAACATTGCCGAAAAGTTACCACACAACCAATATTGGAAACTTTAAAACTTGTCAAACTTACCGCGAGTTTACCCTCAAATGTTCTGTTCCACATATTTCCCGAATAACTGTAGAGGGTAACTTCTGGGAATGCTTGTCATGAAGAATACTTCTTAAATGGCCCTGGAAGATTTTATGTAAGTGCTCCGTCTTTTCTATTTCCCCAACAGCTTTCAGCACATCTTTGATATTATTTTCTGCAACAGCTTTCAGGACAATCTGGTCGATTTGAACACCGATAGCTTCATTTCTTTTGACGACTGGGAGTTGTAATACGGAATATAAATCTTCATATGCCTTTATCACACTTTCGATTAGAGAAATTTTTTTTCGATTGAACTGTAATGAGTTTTGCATATACTTTACTAAGATTTTAGATAAACAATCATCAGGTAAGTATTGGAAAGATTGGTCTTGAAGGAGATTAATAACACAAGACCGCAATAGTCCTCTTTTACAACCGACAAGCTGCTTTAACAAGTCTTCCTTTCCCTCAGTTGTATCGAAAAAGTTACCTTCTAGTATCATATGAAGAAACTCAGCCCTGCAATCAAAAGTGGTCAATTTCGAATCATGACTTAGAAACTCTAAAATGTTCTTTTCTACTGTCTGGTGCAATCCACAACATACGACGGGTAATGGTAGAAGTAACTGATAGTGTCGTAAAAATTCCTTCAGGTCGCTGATTTTAGCTGTTTTGGTAAGGTATTGTGTACATTTCTGTTTGCATGAATCAACAAGTTTCTCGTATATATCACTTTCTGTAACTACAGCGTCGAGAAGTACACGCCACACAGACATATACTGTTCAAAGGAGCACCATAACACAAGATGTCTTAAAATCTTATCCAGCAAAGAATGTTCCGATGCTCTTAAAATTTTTGTTAAAACTGATTCTAAATTAACATTTTCGGATTTTTTATATAATGACATGCTTGAAAAAGTCTGCTCAACAGATTTTTGTACAAGTCCAATCAAATGAGCCTCTGGCAAAAATGAAAGTGTGTTTTCGATAAAACCCACTACACATGATGACTCTCCATAGGCACATTTATATATCTGTTCTAAAACACCACCAATCACGTCAATGTGTTTCGAGTCATTGGCATTTGGTTTTAGATATTTGACTACCCTATTTAATTGCTGTGCTGTACTTATATCGATAAGATTTAATTTGCTGATAAACGATGTGTTATTGGCCAAGTAATGTAACATAACGCAAAATGCTGGCATGTTGTCTGAATGCATCCCAATAGGCAACGATTTGATGACGTTCGACAAAATTGTTTTGACTTTTTCAGGTCTGAGTCGTCGGAAGTTTACGGCAATTTCTATATGTAACATATTGATTGAATTCATTGCATCAAGTTCATCATACGCTAAGGCTTTATTGTTGTATGTTTCTAAATATAACAAATTGCTACAAAAGGCCTCAAATGCACTTTCATATGTATCTTTATCTTTTGATGGGAAAACAAGATGGTAAATTTTATTATGCATCATATCAATGACCTTTGATGATTCTATTATTTCTTCATAATGTTCTTTGAAAATCCAAATACCGGATGATTTCTTGAAAGTAATTTCTATTTGGAATTCATGATTTTTTTCAAAAAATACTTTGTCTACTGTCCAGATAAATGTTTCTGGAATATTGTGAGCTTGATAAGGCTTATCTTTGCATTTGACAATGACTTGCTGGATTTTTCGAACATCGTGTGATACGTAGATACGAAATAAGGTAGATGTTACCTGAAAGTATAAAACAAGGAATGCAATTATTTTGAATGAAAGGAGAAGAAGTATTGATTTTGATTACAATCATCTTGGGAAATAAGTCTACCAAAAACAGTATTGTACGAACTATATGTACATGGATATTTATTCAATAGTTGAAGGATTTAAATGTTTGGCATGTGTCTACATTTTGTTGTAACATGTTCCATTAAGAATTTAGTAATTTAAAATATACTATTTGTAAAACAGAGTCAAAAGATACCACAGTGACATTCAAACTCATAATGCAAATATAAACTGACAACGTCATGACCAAAAACGAAAAAGACCAAAAGGCGAACAACACTATACAAAACACAACGTAGAAAACTAAAGATTGAGTAACACGAACCACACAATAAACCGGGGTTTATCTCAGGTGCTCCGGAAGGGTAAGAAGATCCTGCTGCACATGTGGCATCCCTTGTATTGTTCATGAAAGTACAAACCTTTCTTTTGCCGATATGTTTCATTATGTGATTTTCTTGTTCTAGTATCTGTTGGTATTATGGCTAGCGATTAAATAGCAACGAGTCCTTGTGTGACTTTATAGAACATACCCAGCCTGGTTTTGAGTTGGCGCTTTGTAAATGGGCGATATTGTAGTTGTTACATGTATAACGAGTAGCACGCATCAGTACCATTTCTAGTTTGTTCATTCTCTGTTGTTTGTGGACCCATTAAACTACAGCAAGTTTTGGTCTCACTATGGATGGATATGCACATAATGTATGCTTCCCCTTGTTTCTTTTGAATTGTTTGGTTTACTTTTTCTATTTTAATTGTTGCTATTTCGGTTTTATAAACTTTCTTTTCTTGTTTATGAGTGGTCTAACTTGTATTTTATCCATATAAGTCTCTGCTTATAAGTGAGCATTTTGAGCAGTACATTTAACTCAATTGATTTTAGAAGATCAATTGTGCAGATGTTGTTAAGCATCTGGTGCGCCCAAGCTAAATGATATTATCGACCAATCTATGTGTCCTAATCAAAGTCCCCTCATAATCATATATTTGTAGTTTATGTATTGTCTATTCTATTAAAGGAAATGTTAATGTGTACTAGTGGTGTATCTTTGTCTGATAGGGTCTATAGAAGCTACCAACACAGACCTCTTTAGCACCAGATGATCATAATCATACTATCTCGCAGTTTTTTTAAGTTTCTTCAATTCCACAACTTATAAACTCTTTGGTGTTAGCTATTAATACACCGCTATTATTCGGTCTTTCCACTTTTCTGTGGAAAGACCTAATGTATTTGTTCTGATTATTAGGTGTTTCCACTTTTCCGTGGAAAGACCTTTTGGTTTTGTTCTGATTATAAGGTCTTTCCACTTTTCGTGGAAAGACCTTTTGCTTTTGTTCTGATTATAAGGTCTATCCACTTTTCGTGGAAAGACCTTTTGGTTTTGTTCTGATTATTAGGTCTTTCCACTTTTCCGTGGAAAAACCTTTTGCTTTTGTTCTAATTAGGTCTTTCCACTTTGCCGTGGAAAGACCTATTGCTTTTGTTCTGATTATTTTTTTTTCTTCCGCCTAATTTTTTTTCTTGCGCAGTATTATTGTTTCACAAGATGTCGCTTTGATATTTGGTATATGATATCGAACAGTTTATACGCTTTTGAAACTCACCCTGTTTGACCGAACACTTTTTCTTGTAGGAGTTATCTCCCCCAAACACTGTTTTTCTTGTGGCCACTACTCCTTCGCAACCGTAAAAGAAAATGACAAATTTATTTTACCAAATTGCTCGCTATATCTTCAGGATGTTGAGTTTGGTTTTTACCGAAGCATTCCGGAGATTCCATATGAGAGTTATTTCCCCTTATGCATTTGATTTCAGTGATATGTATTTATAATTGGTAAACCATATTTTCACTAAATTGTTAGTTGCGACATGTCGTGACACATAAATTTTGGTTGAAATGGTACGTTGACATTTAATAGGAGTTTTCTCCCCTCTTATATTTAGAATTACACGTATGGGGATATAACTCATTAACCATATATAATAGAGACCTAGAGTCTTTTGATTTGAGGTCCTTGGTTCATGACCTTGCAATTGAGGTCATGGTCATAGGTAAATATGACGTTCTAGATTTTGACCTTTCCTTTAACTTCATATGTATACATGATATAGCCATGGGACTTTTTACATTAGGTTGCAAGCAGAATGAACTTGAAAATTCCAACAGGAAATGAACTTGTGTAAACCGGAAGTAGCTATTTTTTGTACTTATTTGATATAAAAGTATATAGAACCATATATTTTTAGAATCACTGTCGAGAAAACTATCAACAAATGATCTCCCTTATTTCAAACAAAAGTGTATAGAAACCATATAATTTTTAAATCAGCGTATAATAAGCTATTATTTGGCACTGAAAATGACATTTCAAACCGATTTTTAATATTTTTCATATCAAAATATATCGTTTCGTGCAGAAAGACCTCCAATTGCTCTGAGCAATTGGTTTTTAATTATTATTTTTTTTCTTCATCCGCCAAATTTGTTTCTTGCATGTAATTTTATTTCGCAAGATGTCGCTTAGATATTTTGCATATGATATCGAACAGTAATTGCGCTTTTCAAATTTAAAGTTATCTCCCCAAACACTGATATCTTTTTAAGAACTTGTGCAAAATGTCTGCCTAATTGTGATAAAGATATGATACATTTGGTCTGAAACAAACCAATGACATCTTATAGGAGTTATTGTCCATAAAATGATTAAATTTAAGGTTAATTGATTATTACTCCAACTTGGTACATGATAAAGCCATAGGGTCTTTTGCAAAATGTTAAGTGACATATGACCTTGACAAATATCAACCGGAAGTGACCTTGAGTAATCCGGAAGTATCAATTTTTGCACTTATTTCATGGAAAATTACCTAGAAACTATATATTTTTTAAATACACATACATAAACCTATCAGACTGGAAGTTACCTTAAAAAAACAGGAAGTAGCTAAATATCTTCCTTATTACAGGCAATAGTATATAGAAACATTATATATTTTTATAATCAGTGTGAATAAAGCTATCATATGAGACCGGAAGACATTTTTTCAACCGGAAGTTGACAATTATCTCCCTTATTTAAGGAAAAAATATATAGAAACCATATATTTATTGAATCAGTATGAAGAAACCTATGCTTGGACGCCAATAGTAACTTTGAAACCAGAAGTAGCTTCTCATCAATCATTTAGAAATTTAATGTGGAAAGACCTTCAATTGTTCTCTGAACAATTGGTTTTATAATTTGATTTCTGTTTTTTTATAGGTCTATCGTTAAGATATATCTTGTGCAGGTTACTTCTAAAATTTAGTTGGCACTGACTTGTCTACATTAAGGCGACAGCAGTTTACCGATGCTCAATTTTGTAAATCGATAACAAAGAGTCAAATCAGGATAATAAAAAAAAGTCCTGATTGAATCGCATTAGCTCCAAAAGGAGCAAGACCGGGTGTTTCGACACTTTACACTCAATCAAAATGTCACAATCAGGATAAGCACTGCCACATGGAATCAAGTGGGAGTTCTATATAACAATGCAAATGCTGCTGGAATATTGAGACATAAAAATGAAACATCAACGTTAACAATGAAAAAGATAAATGATTATTGATTGATTAATGTTCACCCCATATTCAGGACGAGAACACAGTTTAAATCAATCAAGATATGTTCTGAAAAGTCGGTAGACCACGATGAAGGGTGTGAAATTAAGAGTTAGATATCAGCATCGTCGTATAGCTATGTTTTAAATTCAAAAGATAAGTGTGTTTATTGAACGAATCAGACGTATCTGTATCTGTTGTAAACTTCAAATTAAATTGAAAGGAGTAGATGGTACCAATAAAATCTACGTTACCAATTTTACTGCACAAGAAGCGCATTTCGACAATATATGTCCCTTCAACTTAGTGTTAAATTTTGAAATATTTAGTGATAGTGTATCATTAGTATATCGGACCACACAGCAAGTCCGTCTCCTCGGAATAAAGTACACAAACAACATTAAAAAAATCATACTAAGTTTAAATCATACCACATCTCTTTATTTCATAGAGATATTTAAAAAATAAACGAACCAGCTGCTGGTCTTTTAAGAGAGGAATTCATGAATACGCCATACGGGAGCCGACATTAGTATGAAAACAATCGTTGTTTTGAAAATATAGGGATAGTCCTTGAAATCTTTATTTTTGACTTGCTAGACTTATTGACAAAGGTTATAATGTATGATTCTGGTATTTTACTATTGTCATTCTGTAAAAGGTGCATCTGGACATCTAATCAT